TTCTCTTTCCCTGTAAGAAGTGGCTGGGGCTGCATGAGATCCACTCCCAGAAACCTCTCCCAGCTCCAGGAAGCTCAGCATCCTCCTCTGCTTCCTGCCCCCATCGCTCATCAGCTGGGCGGGGGGGGTGTCACTGTATGGGGAGCTGCTCCCTCATCCTCCCAACGCCCGTGCATCCGGACCTCTCATACCCAGACACCACCGCCAAGCTTCACTCCGTACACCCAGAACCCCCCTAGCACTCCATACCCAAACCCCACCCCACTGAACCTCAACCCCTGCATCTGGAGCCCCCTGCACCCAGAACGTGGCCTCAGGACCCCCACCGCTGCACCCAGAGCACCCCCCACTGAGTTCCCTGCATTCAAACCCCCACCCTGATGAGCCCCACCCTCCCGCACTGCCCTGAGCCCCCACATCCAGACTCCCATGCACTGACCCCCAAATAGCTGCACCCAGACACCCACCCCACCAATCCTCACTCCCCCAGCACCCAGGCTCCCACGCTGAGACCCCCACACCCAGACTCCTCCTCTGAGCCCCAACTACCTTCACCTGGAAGTCCCTGCAGAGTCCCATTGGAACCCCCGCAACGAGCCTCTGTGCATCCAGATCCCCCCACACTAGACCCCCCACTGAGCTGCCTGCACCCAGATTGTCTCACACAGAACACTCTCACCCCACACCTGAATCCCTCCGCACTGATCCCCTTCACACTTGGATCCTGCCTTGCTGAGCCTGCCTGCCCCACACCTGGTGCGCCTGGCGCAGAGGGGCAGGGCCCCAGGATGTTTCTGGAGCAGGCCAAGGCCTTGTGCTGTGTCAGGGTCGGGTGCAGCCTCACCGCTAAGTCCGTGTCCCAGGGGTGGGCTGGGGCTGCAGGGTGACCTTCCACCTTCATGCAACCAGTGGCCTGTGCTCCCCACTGCCATGCTGGAGCCTCTGCATTTACTTATTGACAAATAAAACTTGCAGAATTTTAAAATATTGTGCACAGACATTTTAATATTTTGGCGCAGGATGCCCTCAGGAGTAGTTCTTCCTGTGCAGCAGGGCGAGGTACGCTGTACATCTCCCAAAGCCCATCAAGGGCAAGGAAGGGAGCAGGTTACCTTTACTCAGCATTAGCCATAACGGGAAAACCCCAGTAATTTCTTTCTTTTAAAGGTCACTAGAAACGTGATACCAGCAAAGGAACAAGTACAAACTGTATTGCATGTGACATGAGGAGAATCACTGAAACTCAGTAGCCAGAAAGGAAAAGGGACTGCAAGTCAGATGACAAGCTGCGGGGGGGATTGGGGATGGGAAAAAGAGCAGTGTCCCCATTCAGAAGCTACTATCAATGATCTAAGTAGGCCAAGAAGCCCTGCATGAATACACCTCTACCTCGATATAACGCTGTCCTCGGGAGCCAAAAAATCTTACCGCGTTATAGGTGAAACCACGTTATATTGAACTTGCTTTGATCCGCCGGAGTGCGCAGCCACGCCCCCTCCCCCCACCCCGGAGCACTGCTTTACCGCGTTATATCAGAATTCGTGTTATATCAGGTCGCGTTATAACTGGGTAGAGGTGTAATTCAGATGCCCAAAACAGGCTCACTACACTCACAGCCACCCAATCAGTAGAAATACAACTAACTTAATGCTGTTTCAGCAATTAGACAGCACATAAAGAAACAGCCCATGAGAAAGCATGTGGCTATAATGGATGTCTGCGTGCTTCAGGAGTGCTGAGGTACCAGCTGTTCCCAAGCCACCAATAAATGGGCTTTCTAGCAGAATGGTGCTGTACTTCAACAACGTTAACCGTCTTGATGAATGTAACATTCAGCTAATTACAGGGCCAAACCTTGAATACCTGCAATGCCAGTCAATTGGAGTTAAAAGTGCTCAGCATCTGGCTCAAAGCTCTGACCCACATTACACCAAACACCTGGGCAATTATCAAGCCAGCATCAGCCAAAGGCAATGCTCCTTCTCTTAATACTCATTTTTTAAGACATATATGCTATCCTTGCTTAGAGCCTGGTTTATAAAACTGATTTAATGCAAAGACTACAAATACACATTAGCAAACCCAAGCTGTACTACCTCACTGCACAGTATAGCCGATCAGCAAAACAGGATTACGCCATTTGGGGGGCTCACAGCATTATGTACGTTCAAGATACATTTTGTTCAGAATGTTAAAATATGCCTCGCTTGCTTCCCACAGACAAAAATCAAAATTATTTGCATTATAGAGACATTTGAGACTTTTGTTTTGCTCCCCCAAATATGCACTATGTCTTCTTTGGGAACTTTGGAATCTTATGCCTTGCCCAAAAAACAGGAAAAAGCAAACAGTACTCATTTGGGAGCTTTCGACCACAAATCATGCTCAGACATTCATTTTTAAAGTGCTGAACCACCTTTATTGCTGGAAAGGGAAGGGACAGAAAATGGACAGGAATTTTCATAGGGGTTATTTTCCAAAATACCATGCCCCATTGCAACACGGGTGTTTCCACAATATATTGCAAATTATACCAATTTCCCCAAATGCAATGCTTGCAGCACTGCTATTTGCACACTGACCATATAACATAACATGGGAAGAAAATACAAGACTGCCACCTAGAGACTGTGTACTAGAATGTTAGACTTGAGATGCAGCTGAGTTCTGCGCTCCCTGTTAGTGATTTTAGCCTATCACCATAACTGTGGCCATACCATTACCTTTCTCTTCATATTTTAATACCAATAGAACTTTTAGAAGCACTGAGATTTCACTGCAATGGTGAGATATAAATACTTAAGTTGAATATGAATTTCCCTCTGTCTAAACACTTCTATGGCTGTTATCACTAATATCTAAGCAACTCTCAATCATTAATGCAGCCCAGGGAGGTAGAGAAGCATCCTCCCCCTGCCAAAACCCCGCATTCTACTGGTGGCAAAAGCAGCACCAAGAGATTAAGTGACTTGATCATGGTCACACAAGAAAGCCTGGGGCTGGCTGAATCAGGATTTGAAGCCAGCCAGCTCTCCCAAGTCCCAAGGCACTGCCCTATCCACTGCCATGTTTCCTTGTCCATTCCCCCTTTCTTCCCTCATTCCCTCATGCAAGATACACATAAGTCATCAAGTCATAACACAATAAATTAGTAATTAAAAATACTTTGCCCAAGTAGCACTTTCTAACCAAGAGGCTCAAACCACTTGGTAAACACTGACTAAACAAACCTCAGAGAAAGTCTGGGACGTAGACAGACTTTCTATTATCCCCAATGCACAATCAGGTAAAGTGAGATACATATAAGTGATGTGATTTGCCCAAGCCCATACAGAGCAGGAACAGAATTCTGGAATCCTGACTTCTGGGCTATTAATTGAACCAATACATAAACACGTCTGTATGCAATCTGAATGCATGTGGGTGGGAAAACCAGAGAACCTCACTCGGACTGGGCAGGAGAGATTCCACATATGGAGGAGGCCCGCTGTTTGGCTAAGTACAGGAGAAGCCCACTTCTGTGAACATCAGAAATGATGATAAGCGAGAGCACATTAAGAATTTAAATTTATTGAGAGTCAAACATCACACCACCTTATATCACTTTGTGTTCACTGCATTGTTTTGAACGGTTGCTCATTACAACTGCAATCTGTTGTGGCAGTATGCACAAGAAACGTTTATGGCACAGATGCTAGAAGGCAATGATGCTACTCCAGTGCTATCTGAGCCATCAGCTGGCAGAGGAAGATGCCAAACAAGGCAGCTAGTACACATTCCCCGGCACTCTGCTGGCCTGGGTCCTTTCCATCCAAAGAGGGCTCCTGCAGGGCAGCTCAGCACATGCAGCCATGCTATCACGCCAACTCAATTTTCTCCAAACCCTAAACTAATTTCAGAATGATAAGCTTAATTTTGTTGCTCATCACACAAGCAAGTTATGATCAGAGCGAATTAGTCCATCATCCTTACCAAGCTATTGCCAGCCTAAGGTTTAGGAAGGCAGATTCTGAAGCTACAATAAAATCCCTTTCTTTCGATCTTCTGACTCCCCTCTCCAGCAAGCACAAACATAGTAACATGATGTGATTGAGAAAAGTCCTTTATTGACTCAGCCTAGAAAAAAAGTAGTCGCTCAGGCCAATCACTTCTCATCTGGGTTTTGTGGTTCCCTACTAGAGAATGCTTATGAGACAGAAATTTTCATGCTTCATTTACATAAAAAAGAGGAGGTCTCCGCTCCAACTGATAAATAATATCAGGCTACAGAAACCATCTCCTTTAAAAACAACAAGGAGTCAGGTGGCACCTTAAAGACTAACAGATTTATTTGGGCATAAGCTTTTGTGGGTAAAAAACTCTCTTCTTCAGAGAGGGGGGCCATGGCTGGGCTCCGGGGGGGAAAGGAGTGCCCCTCACTGGGCTCTGGGGAAGAGAGGGTTCGGATGTATTGGCTGGGGGGCCTGCAGGATGACTCTGGGGGGGGGGGGGGGTTGGGGGGGTCTCGCCCCCCCCCCCCGGCTGGGCTCTGGGGGGGGGGGGGTAGAGAAAGAGGAACTGGGTTGTTGGGGGGGTGGGAAGGGCAGAGAAACAGGAACTGTGTTGTCATGGGGGTTCTTTAACTCTCTACTCCTGGGGGAATTTTTGTGTGTGTCTGTGTTGTTACAGACATACTTGCTGACAGGTATTTTGAAATACATTGCCAAAATAATTGAAACTGGCATGATTATGTAGTGTTATTTTGACAAATAAAATTTGCAGAATTTTAAAATATTGTGCAAGAATTTTTAATTTTTTGGCGTAGAATGCCCCCAGGAGTAACAAGAATTTTCCAACGAGGCCAAGTAGTCTGTGTGTAATGCACATGTTGCTGCTGGTACAGCCAGGTGTGCGCAATATTCTGGAGTCCTTGGCTGGGCTTCAGTAAGTAAATCAAAGTCTATGTGCTCTAAGGCTGTGCCCCTTCCATTGGTGAGAGAAAAGAAGACTGCCCCACTCACCGATCCACTGCTTCCACATCGAAGCAAAACCTCTTCTCTATCGAGTCAGTTTTCCGGCGTATGCAGGATTTGAGTGTGACTGCTTCATCTTCTCCCTACAAGGATACAGGAGTTCTAGATTAGGAACAGAACAGAACTGTGTATATTACACACACTCAGCCTACTAGAATTATGATTAATATGTATTAATCCCAGAGGGGATGGCTTGTGGGTCTAAGCATAAGGTTTGAAATATCCACACTTCCTGGAAATACAGCATTTGAATCTTTGCCAAGTTGATTTGTCTCTCCATCCTTGCGGAGAAGTTAGTTAGTGGGTTCCCTTCAGAAAACACTTTTATAAGATTATTAAAAAGAGGGATCTTATCTGTCCCACATACCCTACAGCTCTTGTAAAACAGGGGAGCCTGACCCACTGTTATTGAGCAAAGTCAC